TAATTGAGGTCGGCTTCATCCACCCATGTCGGCTGGTCATAGCCTTTCCAATAGACCTGGAATTCTCGGTGCACCCGCCCATATTGGGTGCGTCTCCCTGACCGTACGTCCGCGATTCGTTCCACCTCGAATTCGTCTTTGTCCAGCGGAGTGTCCCAGTTATCGTCAGGCAGCAGTTCTTCATCGAAGTCTACCCCATCGTCGTCTTCGGTGTTCAACACGACCTTTGGCCGATCTGGGAATGTTCGCACTGGCTTCAACTTCGACAGGTGTACTATCGGGAAGATTCGATACCCTGAGCCTGCGGTCTCGAGACGAGCTGCGTGATTGCCGATCAGCTCGGTTACGCGAAACGGTCCATGCCACATGTGTGCGAGCTTGCGAGCGTAGCCTTCCTTTACGCGATCCAGGTAAAGCCATACATGTGTGCCTTCCTCGATCCGGTGTGGTCTAACGTTTTCGTTGTGCTGGTCAGCTCTAGACTTGAACGCATCACGTAGGTTCTCATTGACCGCTTCCCTGGCTCTGCGGTATTGACCCTGTATGTGGTACCTCCATCTCCGTGCATCGCAATCGCGGCGGCGTGTCGATCCCACCGAAACAACTGCTTCAAATGTCGACCGCGGGTCCCATCCGTGGATCCCCTCACTCGATCATGCGCCGTATTAAACGCAAAGTCAGCCGCTCTGCATAGTCGGCCCAGTCTTGTTGGTTGACGTCTGCAACGTACATCTTCAGGGCTCGTGTCGGGGTTTGCACCGTTCGCTCGGCTTTGCCGTTCGCTTGTGGACGGTAAGCCATTGTCGCGCTCTGTCTCATTTTCACTATACGGTTGAAGGCACGGAAGAAGTCCGACATAAAGCCAGGCTCCCAGTCATGTCTGATGACTTCGCTTGCGCCGAAACGACGGAAGACGCCTTTCTCGACGGACCAGCCTTGGCTATTACGTAACCGGTGAACAAGTCGGCCCAAATCAGCAGTTCGGTGTTTCCTTTGAACGACTTCAGCAACGACGGAATGTGGTCCATGGAGATCACCTGGAAGGGATATGGACCCTGGATATATACTGGTGATTCTCCCTGACCCGTTGGCTTTCCCTTCCCGGTTTCGCAATCGGTGTATTCCCCCACGTAGCGTTGTGCACTTCGATACAGCCCACGCCAGTGAAACTTCGCTTGGATCCTCCGGTATGTCATTCCGACGCCTTGATGACCTCCCTCTAGACTGGCATGATAATGGTGAAGGAAGTCTCGCTGTAAGCTATCGGGAATCACCATCCTGACGACACCGTCGCGACCTTCGCCTCGTTGGAGTGTCTTGGGGCTAAAGAAAAGTAGTCCATTCTCGTCTACTTCGTAATTCGCGGCTATCTTCGAGCATACCTTCGCCTCTTCTGCTGTCAAGGCACCCACTTCTCCGTCCAGGTACTTCTTCAGATCTACAATCCACTTCTCTTCATCCTGAGCTTGCCTAATCGTCTGACACAGCATGGGCTGTATGATAGATTCTTCCATCGCTTTTGGTGTGCGTCGTTGTCTCTCAGCGGTTCGCGTGGTCGCGTTTACGCAAACGACTGTCTCGATCAACTTTGGCTTTAGCATTTCGCCCAGTCGGTTGAGGGTGAT